GAGGCCTGCTGTTATCATTGTTGTACCATGTTGGCTCTGTGTTCCAAGCTTTAAAACCAAGCCCAAACCACTTCTGTTTACAAAATCCTGACTTCATGTTTGCTCTTGTTTACAGATGGACGACGAAGCCTCTCTGTTGCCACGGAAACTCCAGTCAGCCCTGGAGCAGGCGCTGGAGCAGAGGAATGACATCATCAGCCAGGACTCAGACAGCGAATCGGATGAAGGTGAGTAAGGGACAGGTCATGAATGTGGACAGATGTGTGGTTTTGTTAACTGTGAGTGGGACCAGCTCTGTGGTAGTGCACATGTTATGACTTGGTACTGTGTGAACCTCTGGGGTATGACGTCATGAAGAGCGGATAAGGATTAATCACCAAAGTTTATTTTACATGTGAAATAATGTCTAGTGGGTCTGTATGGAGGTGTAATTAACAGGAAGTGGAATTATTAAGTATTAATCAAGCAGCCAACATGCATCCATTGAAAAACAAAACAGAAATGTTAACTGATTGGACTTCAGAAATATTTAATGGGCCTTGTGACAAAAGTTTAACTGTAGTACTAGTAATAGTAGCAGCAATAGTTGACGTATCAGTAATTACTAAGTATAGAAGTATCACTAATTACTGTAGTAATAGAAGCACTTTTTCTTCTTCTTTTTTTTTTATTTAAAAAAAAAAATCTCTTCAGTATACCTTAAAGGTGCACTGCATTTTGTAACTTTCTGGGTGAGCGTCACCACTTGCTTGTCTCCATAGAAATGTTATTGTTTTGCCTGGAATGTTTCACTCTAAGGCATTAAAGCGAGTTGAGTTTTGGTCAGGTTTGTGGAGAGATGAGTTGCAGCGTGTTGGCTAGTTCTCCTACCACTCCAAATGCTTGCTAATTAAACCCTGAGGTAATGGTATCTACTATGAAACTATCTATTGTTTCATGCTGGCTAAGAAAACGTCTGGTATTCCACTCAACCTCCAGGGTAGTTATCCCAATATATAGTAAAACTGGGCCATACGTAAATGATTTTGAGGCATTAAATACATTCTTGGTGTATAGTTTCACTGCACTGTATTCCTGCATGTCAAAAAATATATGAGCGGTTTTCTGTGTCCCCACTGTCTGCATTCTTTCCCAAATTCCTTCATGCAACGGATAAAAATGTTGGTGGTTGTTTTAAATCAGTTCCTGCCAATTCTGACCTGTTCAAACTTATCTTTAAGAGAAAACAAAACACTCTCACAACGTGTAGTAACTGTTGGTATCTAATGTTTATTTACAAAGGTGTCAATCTGTCATGGCTCGAATCGGTTCATGAAGTTAATCCTGCAGGAGTCAACTGCATGGGGTAACACAAGTAAAAGGGAATAGCAATATCCAACCACAGTATTGTTGTTGCGCATGTATTTTTCTTTTGTGGTGAAGGTAATTCAAACTGATTGACCATGAGTTATGAGAAATACTCCTTAGTCTGTACTTTGTTACAAAAGCTGGGGTTAGATTGCTTATTCCACTGTAACATAATGCTTCGCTTTAATCTAACTCTGATTGCATACATTCAACATTATACATGGACATACAAAATGATCCACAACCCAAGTGAATTATTCTTACTAATGCCTAGTCTGCCTCATGTATGTCCTGGTTATATAAAAAATGGGGAAGTACAGTGTGGTTAACTTAGATATGAAGTTAGATAATAATTTCACATTCATTCACAAATTTTTCATTGTTCCATTTAGGTATTTTACATAGATCTCTATATAATTACTTTTTAAAAGTAGGATTCTTTCCAAAGTTTACAGACAAATGGGTCAGATCCCAACTATGGTGTTAAAGATGGTCCTGAAGTAAATGTTTTGTTTTTAGTTCCCCGTCAATTACTTTTATCCATTTTGGTAGAACATAATGTGTAAAATCTTGCATGCATTGTGTCCACAGAATATAACTCCCTGACCAACCTGGTGTCAGAGGCATTTATCCGGTTCTTCCTGGAAACAATCGGACACTATTCCCTGTTCATCACTCAGAACGAGAACGGAGAGAGGGTTTTCCAGAGGGAGCCTTTCCGAAAATCTGTGGCATCCAAAAGTATCCGACGATTCCTGGGCGTTTTTATGGAGTCTCAGATGTTTGCAGGTTTCATCCAAGATCGGGAACTGAGGAAAACAAGAGCTAAAGGTGAAAAATACTGTCACTTTTTCAGTTTCTATCTCTGTCTTAATATGTGATAAAATGTGATATTTAACTATATCACAGCTATCATTTATATTTGGCTTCTTCTAATTGAAGTTTTGCAAGTATTTTTTTCATCAAGAAACAACAAAATACATAAACTGTTACAAAAAAAAAATATTGAGGCTCTCTCAAAATCTGTGCCAGAATCCCTGCAGTTTTAACAGTTCACTTGTGCTGCCCCCTGGTGGGTGAAGCATAACTTTTAACATTTTCTCTGTGTTTACCCGCTCCCCTGACATGACTGGCTAAATGTTAAGCCCACAAAGTACAAAAACATGTCATTTGATTTTATTGTTTTCATTGTTCTGGTTTTAGGGTTGTTTGAACAAAGGGTGGACCAGTATCTGGAGGAGCTCCCAGACAGCGAGCAGAGTGGAGTCAACAAGTTTCTAAAAGGCCTTGGTGAGTATTTTGTTATAATCTTGTATTGTATCATGTATAGGAGTGGAAAACATGATACTTTAAAATATTAAAGGGCCTTTATTATGTTATTTTTTATGTTATAATGTTGTTTCCTCATCAAAACATACCTGGAGTTGTGTTATGTTGGTAGCTGTAAAATATAATTGTTAACTTGAAAACTGCTGTTTCATGACATCACAAGGTGGAGCAGAGCTTTTTTGGTTTTAGAGATGTAGACAAACTAATAACGCACAATATTCAAACATGTGTGAATGAAACAAAACACAACTCCATGTATGTTTTTGATGAAGTAACAACATTATAACATGGCTTAAAGCTCACAAGAGTTTTGCGTTTTGTCTAATATAGGACCATTAAAACTCAATTAAAATCTGCAAATATGCTCTGAAATGCATATGATTGTTGTATTAGTATATCAGTTCATATTTCAGTATTCTCAAATGTTAATGCTCTTTGAGTTGTTTACATTTATTTTTTTTTCTAAAATTTTACATCCCTAATGTCAAATATATAAATATTAGACAGAAACTACATGAGCAAATCAATACATACAATCCCATTTTGAGTTTTGTGTTGTGTAGTAATTAATTAATAGTAGTTAATGCTGATTATTCCAAAAAACACCTTAATTTACTGTTACTCTTTCACAGGAAATAAAATGAAGTTTCTCCACAAAAAGAACTGAGAGGAGACAGATTCACCAAAATCCCACAATGATGCCTTATAATGTTATATATATTGTAAACTTGTACATATTTAACAGTATGTTGGTTGTGATACTACTCAGTTTATGTTTATAGTACTTAATTAAATAGCTCTAGTAAGATGGTACACAGCGAGCCAAGCTTAAATTAACCACTGATGTCTTATGTGCCTGTGAGTATTAGGATGTGTGAATGATCTGACACTTGACATGGTATTTTGCATTTTTTCACAACATGGCGGTCCTCTGTAAACTTATTGGAAACTGTACATGCATTGAGACAATGAAGAATATGATTGTAACTGTTAAGAAATCCTTTTGCAATCTTTTATTAAAAACATAATTGAAATGTCTTGTGTGCGACTATTAATTAGGTTGGTGTATGTGTATATGTCATATGAAGGTCGATTGCCTAGAATTTGAATGTTTCTATTGAATCCAAAGTTACATTGGCTTATATTTCAGTATTCATTTGATCATTTTCAAACCTTGAATCCTTTATAATGTCTTTTTTTACCTGCACACTACAAGTCCCATTTTGCCATATGATGATAATATATTCACTTTCTTTTCTTGTGACATCTCAATGACAGTTTCCCCCCAAAACCTCACATTCGGAGAAAGTAGGATCCCAAAAGGCTGATACGTCTAGCACCAGCGACTGCATGCTGCTGCTGTAACCTAATTAAGTTGGAGGCTTCACGGTGGCAGCTGTCAGTGCCGTGCTGTTCTTAGCTCCTCTGACTGACGTTAATGCTTGGCACTATTCATACCACACTTTTTATTTATAAGGCAATATGTTATTATGAACCGCCACTGAATAAAATGTAAATACAAGATGTTATCCAGAAGTTTTTAAGAGCAATATGGTAATATCAAGGCAAGGCATATTTATTTGTAATGCACAATTCATACACAAAGTGATTCAAAGTGCTTTACAGAATAATTGCATAAGCCATTTAAAGAAAGAAAAGCAACATAACAGATTTTTAATTGTTGGTTTGTCCTTACAGAAGTTATTTTAATGATTTTTTTTTATTAGTTGGCCTACATTTCATCAAATACGTAAGGTGTAACTTTATGCCATCAGTTTGTCTTTATGGAAATGCTGGAAGTATGTCATCAAACCTATCCTTGCATGTATTTATGTACAGGTGCATGTATTTATGTACAGGTGTTTTTAACTGTTGAAAAATACCTTGAAAACCAACATTCTTACTGTGAGTGAGGTCGCCTCTCCACAGATCTAACCTGTAACTTGGCCTGAAGGCATTGTCTCTTTGTCTACATGGAGATAGATAACCTAATTTTAATGCCATAACTTGGAACATTCTAGGCGCAGGAATAACATTTCCACGGAGACAAGCAGATGAGCAGACCCTTCACCAGAAAATGACATACTGCACCTTTAAATGTTTTATTTTTAAGCTAACAATTGTATAATTAAGTGTTTATTCAGCCCCTAAAATGGCTTATAAAATGAAATTTTATAAGCACATCTGTCTTCACAACTTTCCCCTCGTTCACAACTGACGCTACACCAGCTTTGGGAGACGTCAGAAGTGTTGCAGGGGAGCGTGTATCAAAATCTCACGATTAACTGCGAGACTTGGCATATCCAAAAATTTTAGCTGGTCAAAGAGCATCATCGGATAGGGGCATCGCCACAGCAGCACCGCGGGTCAAGGCAAAGCACCACAGTGACACGGCACGCGCAAGGGACGCACTGGAGTGACCGGAAGACACGAGCGTTCGCCGAATTTCAGCTCCAGCATCACTCCTGACATCTCCAGGGCTCAGTGTTACGGTAGGATGCACTGTGATGATAACTGTTCACTGCTGGAGATGGTGCATTTTGGCTGTGCGTTTTGTATTTTATGATAACGTGGGGTATTTTAGTGCCCTCAGTGCCTCGTGGTTCGCCCAGTGGTGCTTTGACAGGGGTGTAATCCGTTGCGCACTTTGTAAAGCTGTGCGCGGTGCCTGTGATGCGCAGCTGTAGGTGAGGCTCACGCAGGGCTCACAACATCCTTGTTTAGAGCGAGGATTTAAAGAAGTACAGCCAGGCGGCCAACTATCGTACACAGCGTAATCCTGCACACATTATAGTTGTCAGACACGTGTGTGCACAAAAAGCATAAGAAAACAGTTTGTTTGGATGAATTAATATTATCTACTTCAAGTGTTTTGCATTGTTTATTATATTTCTAATAGGGCTTCTGCCTGGTATACATAACAGCCATATGTGAGCAGATATTAGTGATTGTTTTATTTTGATGGCCTTGGAGCAGAAAACTGTATTATAGAATTTAACATAATCAAAGTTTTTTTTATCGTTAAGCAATATAGAGAATATGGGTGAAGTGGTGTCATATTTGCTGTACAGTTAGCTCTGTGAATTTTCCATAAATAAGTCATCATTGTCCACGATGTACCCCATCTGAGGTCTTCTGTTTCTCTAATAGGTTTTATGGCCCCAGGATGTTATTTGAATAAGCAAAAGTTGATAAGAGGAGTGGCCTGCTGCTAGACGTGTCATTATTCAGAGTTTGTTTTTGTGCATAGTCAAAGCAAAAGTCTTCCCTTCATCTGAGAAACAGTGACACATTTAAACACATTTGAATATGTTAATAACCTAATAAGAGAGAATACCCGGCTGTAGTTTAAGGTAATTCTCCCTGTGTGATCCCAGCGTGACTGTGTTAATAGATGTTATATAAAGGTGCTTTCAAGGGAGCGATCTCTATCCTGGCTTCTATTATTGTGACATCTCCTGAGATGATGTGGCTTTGGTGCCAGCTTTACTTAGCAGGGAGCCTGGCATGTTCTTTCTCTTAAACCCCAAGAAGGCTGAACAGTGGCATAGAGCTTGTAATTTAAAAGCACGGTGCACTTCCTCTACTCACTAATTGTGTTTTAAATTGGGTCTTTGAACACAATGGGGAGTGGGACTGTGCAGAGCTCCCCACTGAAGCACCCAACAATGAGAAACTTGTCAGATTTGTAGGTCAAGCGGTAGGGGTTGTTGTTAGGCAGACTTGAACCAAGCTCCAGAAGTCATGCTGGTTTGACTTTTTGGTCAGATTATCACAAGGATTTATTTATATTAATCTCATGTTGTTTCTGTAGCCATGGAGAAACAGACTATTCTGATGACTTGATATTACTAATAATCAAGGTCAAAAAAGGTCATTGGATAAAGTTGTTTGATATGTTGTTTGTGGAATCCTAGATGACTTGGAGTATTCTTGTGTAATACTGTGCACATTTTAGGCATGCACATTTACATAAATTCTAGTCTTACTTCACTTTCTCAAAATTGTCTCAGAATGACAAATAAAATATCAAAATCTCAAAGATCTCATTGTATTCTACCATACAAATGTGTAAAATACAAAACAGTAATTTACATACAACTGGATGGTTATATTGTATCAATCTTATTCTAAGCATCTATAACCGAATAAAACAATAAAACACGTGATATCATACAGTATGTTTTGCATATTGCAAAGCTGTATTTCTTTCATTATGTTTTCAACCCATTGTGTCACTTTTATATAGGGCTTGTTTCATCATTTCAAATAATCTTTCTGTTATGTTCTCATCACTTAATTCCCCTATACAGTGTGTATGGACTCTTCATCTTCCTAAGTCCATGTTAAAATCTTAATTGATTTCCGAGTGCAGTGGGGATTGTAGAAGAGTATCCTTGTCCCATCTGGATCTTATCAGAGCCTGACCCGCTTTTGGTGAGCTGCGTTACTGCGCTGTTCCTCTGGGAGCTGTCCCCACCTTGTGCTGACATAGGGCTCAGGAAGAGGGCCACGTTTGTGCATCTCTAGAAATGCTGCTTAGCATTTAGTTATAGCCTACAATATCCTCTTACTGTACCAATCACTTCTCACAGCTCATTGTAGGTCACTTGGTCTCTCATTTTTCATTTTACAATTAGCTTCCGGCAATAACGCGCCCTACAAAAAATAATGATCTTATCTCCCTAATTCCCAATTATTATGCACAGGCTTATTTAAGAAAAGGGATGAGATTTTGTGTCTTTTTGGTGGTTGCATCAGTGGTTATCAGAATATTCTTCCTCTCTGCAGTGGTACAGGGTCCTACACATGGATGAACTTGGGGGAGGAGAGAGCTGGCTGAGGCTGTCATGTAGGCTCTCCTGTGGGGCCAGCACTCACTGAGCGCTGCTGCCTGCCTCAGGTACTACCACATTGCTGCACACGGGCTCCTGCTGAGAACTCTACTCAAACATCCTGCTCCTCAAGGCAGAAAAATGGAGAAGGTAGGACAGCTTTTTAAGATATTCATTACCCAAAATGTCAGATTGCAAATACTTCATTGTATCATTGTATATTTTTGTATTAGTTTGTTTGAAAGTTCTGTTCACATTCTGTCTAAACTGCTTGACGCATATTTGGAGTTTTGCATGCATTTTGTTTTGGTTTACTGCTCTAAATTCCCTCTGTTCCCTTGACCCTGTTGCTAAATTAACAACATGGGCCAGAAGATGACTTTTCCCAATGGATTATTGAAGTTTAACAGATACTGCTATAAATACAATGGTGTGGGATTTTAATATTAATTTTTAAAACAATATTAAGTGGGTATATTTTGTAGGGGCATTGTAACTGTTACTGGTGAATAGCAGTCAAATTTAGTGAATAGACAATAACACCATTTCGTTCAAAGATCAATTTTCAAGCACTGTTACTTTGTTTGATGGTCTGAAGTAGTCTTTAAGCACATTAGAGATTGTGGCACAAAGTCCTTGATGCATGAAAACAAACCACATCTCTGAGCGGTACATTCAACCAGAGGAAGACAACAACACAAACCGCTGACACATGTCTCCTTCAGTCTGTGTCTTTACCCCCACGTGTTAACCATGCTGTTCTTTCCTGTATTTGTTTATACTCTTTCAGAGCTGCTCCCAGTGCTCAGAGCCCACTCTTGCTCAGAGCCTTTGTACCCAATGCAACAAGTGGCTGTGTTACCAGTGCACAGATGTTCACCAGCATCACCCGTCCCCCGCCCCGGCCCACTACTCTGACTTTCACCAGGCAACCAGGCCCAATGCCAGCCAGTGTCCCGAGCTCCACCAGAGGGCCGCCAACTCCCTGCCTGCTCCTAGACAAGGTCAGACTGTTAGCACAATCTAATGATAAATAAGTGAGTTTTAGGGCCATGTGGGTGCACTTAAATAGGAATATTATTTGACCTACAAAGAAATAAAAAGGTAATGACATGAAAAATATCCAAAGTATAAAGTAATTGCTAAAGAAAAAAACACATCTTGAGTTATGCCTTATAACTTATTGTAACTGTTACTGAGATCTATTTTTAGGCTTTATAATGATGCAAACAGAAAGCAAAAGGAAAAAAAATACCAGTGTACCACACTATACAACTTTAAAAGAGTTGTATAGTGCAGTACAATAACTTACAAACTTTGTACAATACAATATAAACTATTGATCAAGGGAAATTATTTGGACACAGTAGCTCACACATCACAATATACTAGTGTTATACAAAGAGCTAAAAATATAAATAATAATAATAATAATAGTAGTAGTAATAAATTTAGCAGCAAATACAGTAGTAAATACATTTTATACTTGCAATTGCACATTTATGAAGTTAGGATGTGTTGGCTTGAACCAAGAATGGTCCTGTTTTTGACTTGGGTTTGTCCTCTTCTAGTCCTGGTTTAGTTTGGTTTAAACACATCTTATATGAAACACCATAAATGTAGATACTAACTCCCACCCCTGTTTATCCCATACCTTATCCTTTGCTTGATGCTGGCTTGGATTGCATCTCTCTGCTTTTTATCCTGTCTCCGTAGGAACCAATGGCATTAATTATGTATGGTACTAGCCTGTTCATACTGTTTCCTAGAGATGCTTGATGCTTGTAATACATTTTTAACTTCGGCCCAGATTTTAGTTTGTCTAATATTAGTACAGGCCTTTTAAAGACACTCATATAGGGCTGAAACAATTATTTTAGTAGTCAACTGGTCAGCAATTATTTATGAACTATTACTTCCTAACCAAATAAAAGTAAATATAATGCTCCTGTGTCTGTTATAAAAGGGATGTGTTTATGTGTGTTTAGTCCAAACAACAACAATTAGATTAATTCAGATGAATAATTTCAGAGGTTCAAAGATTTAAAATAAGACCAAAAACATTTTAACACCTTTACTGGGATAGAGGTAAGCGTTTGTTTGGTCTCAGCTTGTGTGAGAATACAATTGTTAGTGTGTTGACAAGCAGGATGTGGTCAGTCTCTGGTTTGATGCATGCTACTTTTTACCACAGAGCAGTGGGGAGCCTAGTGCATCAGTGGGGGGTTGTAATAGGTAAAGTGGCCAGTCATAAACCTTTATCTTATTTGTCCAGTAATTTGTATAAAAACAGACTTCCTTGTTGTAATACATGATACTCTTTTCACGTTGTATGTGGCAATAATGAAGCCACAGGAGGTGTACTGTCTTGGTGACAGTCCTAAGCCTGACTAAATGGAAAGGATTGTGTCTGGAAAGGCATCTGGTGGTGTAAAACCTGTGTCAGTCAAATAGTAAATAAATAAAAGCAAGGGATAATTTACCAAAAAAGGATACAACTGCCCAATATGTCAACTACTGGTATATATTTAGTTATTTAATTTGTTCATTGCAGCAGCACAAGATCAGTGACACTGGTAACACCAAAGACCAACCAAAGCCCAATTTGCATAGAGCTAAAAACAGCATTTAACTTCCTCTATAAGCACTATACTATACTATGAGTGTGAATAACTTTGTGAGCTTTTGCCCATGTTTAACTCCTCCCTGCTTATGCCTCTGTGTTTTAAGGTGCAGGGTCGCATCCTTGCCCCCTTCTCCTGTGCCACTCTCACAGACAGGAGCCCTTGGAGCTCTTCTGTGAGTCATGTGACCTCCTGTGCTGCAGCAGCTGTCACCTGTCCACCCACAAAAACCACAGGTCAGTGTCCCATACACAACACAAGGACAAAGCAGCCAAGGTCCAACCGCACATTCACAACTCCCTCTGAGCTACTCTGTTGACACTTTTATCGCCTTCTTTTTGCATACACTACCCTTGGCCTGCCTAATACCCATTAAGTATTCATATGCTTTGGTTTCAGTGATGTTACAGAACAGTGGCTGCCTCTAAGGTCACCTGCATAATGGCCGGTCTCAAGAGGAATCCAATTTTATTGAGCAAAAAGGGAATACATTAGGGAACTTTTTGTGCTGGGAAAGTAATTAAGTTGTGTGTCCTGTGTTTGCAGAGTGGTGCCCATAGAGAAGGCTCTGCAGGACCAACAGTGGCTGTTTGAGAGCCTAATGGTTCAGGTGGAGGAGAGGAGGTCTGCAGTGGAGAATAATGCCAAACAGATAGAGGAGAGGTCAGTTTAAATCACTTCATTGAGATCTAATAAGGAATACAAATAATGAAAGCCTACAATCTAAAGACAAAAGTACAATACCATGCCAATGTACATAAAATGTATATTTTAGTAACAATTTTCTGATTGAAATGATATAAACAGTCACTATTATTACTTTAGGTTGCAGCATATACAACAACCTAGATGTTATTTTCAGAGATATTGATTTGATTTTCAGTACCTCTAAAATAGTTTTCAGTGTTGCTTCTTTATTAAATATCTTTCTCTCCTGTGTATTTAATAGAGGTTTTCAGGCTTCCAGGCCTATTTAGCACTGGTTGTTCTTCATAATTTCTCACTAGAAAATGATTTACTTTCCCTTTTTTTTATAGACTTCACAGTGTAAAGATCGCGCACAGGAAGGCGGAGAACCAGATTAAAATGGCAAAGATGATAATGATGAACGAGCTTAACAAACGAGCCAACCTATTAATAGAGCAACTGGAGGTAATAAGTCTACTTTTCTCTCATTGAATTTTTAAGGCTGCCTTCAGTTCATGAAACCACAAAGACTAGTGATGTAATCAGTTTTGAAAGCAAATGAAGGGCCATAAAAACCTGCCAGAATAGAAGATAAAATCCTGTAACTATCATCTGCAACTAACTGCACTGTGTGTATAATTATTAGGCAAGTTGTATTTATGAGGATTAATTTTATAATTGAACAACTACAGTGCACTTGGTTAATCCAAAATGTTAATAAAACTCAAACCTGAATATTTAAGAAAGTAAAAGTGAAGTTCTGGCTTTCTTAGGAGAAAATCTATGTGTGCAGAATTATTGGGCAACTATTAATGTGCAGAATTATTACGGAACCAAATGAAAAATTAACATTTTCCAGTCTCACTTGTTTATTTTCATGTGTCAGAATTGTTAACAACTCATAAGCCTTCCATTCACAGAGTCTTCCAGTTTCTTGATCTGTTGATGATCATATTTTTCTGCAGCAGCAACCACAGACTTCTAGACACTGTTCAGAGAGGTGGACTGTTTTCCTTCACCATAAATCTCCCATTTAAGAAGGGCCCACAAGTTCTCAGTAGGGTCTAGGTCAGGTGAGGAAGGGGCCATGTCATTATTTTTTCATCTTTAAGGCCTTTACTGGTTAGCCATGCAGTGGAGTACTTCGATGCATACAATGGAGCATTGTCCTGCGTAAAAATCATGGCCCTCTTAAAAGATGAAGACTTTTTCCTGTATCACTCCTTGAAGAAAGTGTCATCTAAAAACTGCCAGTAGGTTTTGGAGTTAATTTTGAGCCCATCTTCAACCCAAAATGGTCCAACAAGCTCATCTTTAATAATAGCAGCCCATACCATTACTGAGTCAGCCATGGGCCCATCCAGCTGGTCCGTCAAGAGTCACTCTCATCTCATCAGTCACTAAAACCTTTCAAAGGTTTTAGTGACTGATGACTTCAGACATTTTTTGACCCAGTCTTGATGTTTCAGCTTATGTTTCTTGTTCATTGGTGGTGGTATTCAGCCTTGCTTACCTTGGCCATGACTCTGAGTACTGAACCCTTGTACTTCTGGGCACTCCAAGTAGGTTGCAGTTCTGAAATATGACAACGCTGGAGGATAATGGGTTCCTGGTAGCTTCATGTTAGATTCTCCTCAAATCTTTTGCAGTTAATTTGTTTATTTTTTCTCAACATGTTTCTTGCAACACTGTTGACTATTTGCAACAAAAAAATGGTTCTGTGGTCACGCCCCAATATCTTTGCAATATCAAGAGTGCTGCATTCCTCTGAAAGACTTTTTACATTTTTTTACTTTTTAGTGTCATTTAAATCTCTTTTTTGGCCCATTCTGCCTGAGGAAAAGAAGCTGCTAAATAATTCTGTACACCAATGTACAGTTGATCTCCTTAGGAATCATCCTCACTTGTTAGACAAATACATATCACTTGATATTCTTAAATCCAAAACTTCAATCTTACAGTTGGAGTTGATATGAATAAAAGTCATGATATGGTCATAATACCCATTTACATAATAATTGTGCACACAGTCTATAAAAATATACAAAACTATTGAACATGCATGCTTGCAATCACTGGTTATGTTTACATTCTTATCAAAAATCTGATCGCTATCTGATTTCAGCAGTGATCTGATTATGGAAATATCATGTAAACAGTTACATCTGATGTGTGTAATCTGACTACACACAACTAATTAGTCGACACATATAACTAGATGTTTTTGATGATCAGATTTCTTTTGTGCATGTAAGCACATACCAAAACACAGATCTAAGTATTGGGTTTTCTGATTATTCTAGTTTTCAGATTTTAACTGGCTATTTAAATGTACCCAGTATGAGCTGTACATCCAGTGACTGTATGCAAACATATTCTATAGTGTTTATGATATATTTCTTTGTGTAGAAATTCTCCGAGGACCTGCAGCGGCGCCTGGAGGATTACCTGCAGGGGGCAATAGAGGCATGTGGACAGATGGACCATGTGCAGAAGTTCATCACCTGGGCCACAAGTCACCACTGCACCAGCCCGATCCTCTTCAGCAGGGAGATGGTGAGAGGACATGAGAAAGCTTTAGCCATAGCACAAATCCAAAACTAGGAGGATTTGTAAACATCTGACTGTCTAATTAACTTCTAGTGTTAATTTCATTAAAATGTGTTAATTATTATTATTATATTTAGATTTCACTCCAAATGCAGCAGTTTCTTGAACCGCCACCTCCCCTGGATTCCTTGAGTCCTGTCAAGATAAAATTTAACTGGGATGCTAGCTATTGGACAAAGCAGATCTCTACTTTAGGTAAATTTTCTGTATTTTAAGTTTTTTATGTTTTAAAGAAGGATTATTGTAAAAATGGTCTCATTGTGCATTGATGTTTCAGTTAAAGTGTTGGTAAATATTTTATTTGTCTTTCTGTCCCATTTGTGTGGATTTGACAACATAGGTATCTATCTCCTCGTAACTGAGTTTACAAAGCTTTCTTGTTTTTTGTTTCATAAATGAAGACAATGTATTTAATGAGTGCTCTTGCCTATTCTTTTTGTTTTTGAATCCATGATCCTAAAGAGAAGGAAAAGATTTTTTACACTTCAGGCTACACTGTTGATCCGTGAAGCTCTCGCGTTTCTTTAATAAGTTTTGTTTTGTTCTTTAGGCCAGCTGACTGTGGAGGATGGGAACTGTCCGTACCCACAATCCCTGTCCTGCCCCAGTATCCTGCGGCCCCAGCCTCTCTCCTGTTTGGCTCCACCCCCTGTGTGTCACCGGCAAGACTCCAGCTGTGGATACAAAAACTGCTGTGAGCCACAGGTGTGCTGCCTCCATGGCCTCCCCAATCCTCCAGACCTGTCCTCTCTGGATAAAACTGCCGTGGACGGGCCGCTCTTCAGATCCAGTCTTGGTCTTCTCTCATCAAGACATTGGGACACAGATAGTTCCTCTGCACCTCGTCTTCCTATTTCATCCTCTGTGTCGTTTAGACCCACACAGGCTAAGTGCACACATGCAATCCATCCACAGCCTGTCTCCTCCCACTCGCTCACTGCATCCTACCTGCATCAGCAACAGCGCTCTGAAACTCTTCCAAACACTCAAGTCAATGTAGAAGGCCCAGCCCACAGCCAGTGTCAAAGAAAGGTGTCTGTTTCCCCCAGTCTACCACAGAATGACAAAGATGTGATGAGTAAAGACGTGTGCGGTGAGAGATGTCACCTGGAGGAGACGTGTGGACCTGAAGGCAGAGAGCTTTTGGATAAGGAGCAAACCACTGGTCAACAGAAGCAGCATTATCAAACAGCCTTTGTGCCTGAGAGGGCCAGACCTGTACTGACCACAAAGTATACCAGAGACAGCAAGGTGAGGCACTCAATGTATGTTGTTATGTTGTAGTCATAGACTGTATAAAGAAGTGAACTAAGGGAGTTTGAAGTCAGCCACAGCATTTGTCTTAAGTCAAATGAAGCTCACACTGCGAGCAGTTATGAGGCAAAGTTGCATATTAGGAATATTAATACATTTATTGACAAAAGAGCAAAATAAAGACACCAATTGAAAACAGAGTCGATGGAGCCAGAAGCTCCCCCATTAGCACAATGCAGTGGCTAGCTGGTTAGTTATGTCCATTTATATATACAGTCTATGGTTGTAATATGTTACATATTACAACATAGCCACATAGAAAAGTTTATACTGTCACTCCACAAAAAAAGATCTTTTTAGTTTGCACTTCAAAGACAGAAAACTGGTTTACTTTTAAAGCTCCATTAAATCTTTATGTTGTGTTTAGTACTCAGTAATTATTCTGAAGGTTTATCAAAGTTGTCCGTAATACAGGAGAAAACAAGTGCAGTGTTTTAGTTTCATCTTAATGGCAGAATGATCACATCCCACCGCTGACAGCCTGCCTAAAAACAGATGGTGTGACAAAAATATACTCCTGCTTTTATGAAGAAAGGGCTGATGGGAAAACAAAGAGCTGTGCTGGCAACAGAAACACAGGTTTTTCACAGTCTCCTAAAGACTTCTATTAGCAGAGGCAGTTTCCTATAATTACCAAGACACATGAATAGAATGGCTAGCTATAGTGCATGAATCATGTAGTAAAATTAGGCCACTTGGGTGCATTCATTTATGTACTTAACCTGTTTTAATAAGTCACTATGGGAATAGCCTAGCCTGCCAGTTATATGGCTAGCACCCCGAGACAAATTTCTACACCCCACTCTGTCTTAAGAGGTAAGGATTATAGTCTATTTTCCCTCACAGCTAGAACCCTGCTCACCTTTCCCAAGAGCCATGGATCACGCCAGTGTTTTTAATCCTGTACTTTGGAGCACACGCTTGGTGTCAGCCCGGATTCACTATGGCAGAAGAGGAGAAGAGGGAGTCCTCTTGTTCTTACATTAGCAAGGACCCGTGCAGTGTGGTGACATTAAAAAAATGCAGAGTAGCAGGACTCCTTGTGTTGAAACAAAGCATTTGCACATCTAATTATAAATTTGCAAGTGATAATGAAAGACTAACAAGTTTTTTTGCTATTATAAGCAGAATTAAAAACAATGAAATAAGGGATTTAACCCTTGTGATAACACAACGTCAAGATTAGTACTCCAACTGTGTGCTTGAGTGTCTAATTGTTAATAATAGTATCTTAATTTTGAAATATTTTCAAATCTATTTTTATTCTTTAACTTAGTTTTGTTATTGTATTATTAGCAACATTACATTACGGTCCATGTTGCATAAAATCCCATTGCAATGACAGAATATTGCTGCAAAGACAAAGTTAAAAAAAGTATTTTTATAAAGCTGCCATGATTTCTATTTATATTCTTTGTATGTGAAGTCAGCACAACTTTGATTGCTCATTATTTGAGCTGTCTGTGGTGCTAAAAAAGTTCTACTTTTACCTCCTACTGTATTTTTTAGAGACACATTTCTCTTTTTCTCTGTGCTGTTAACGGCGTGAACAGGTGCATCTGTGCATTAAGCCTGAAGCCTACACCAGCTCATATTGTCATGTATATGTGTGTGTGACAGAGATCCACTTCCCTGGAGGTGCCTGTGACAGCCCCAGAGTCTGGTGCTGATGTGGAGAGGAGCCTGCTCATCCCTAATCCAGTGTGTGCGAGGAGAGAGAAGCGTTCCCAGAGCATCCCTGCAGAACTGGCTCCTGCCTCCACCACAAACCCCTACATAGACCCGCCCCCAGCGTGCCCTCAGAGCATACAGGCAGCAGCCACTGATAAGGTAACACATGGGAAGGGTGTGCTGTCACATACAAGAGAGATGATCAACTTAGCATGTGAGCTTTGCCCATCAAGCTATCATCTCTGATCTGAAGCCAGTCATAAAAACAATTCTTCTGGCTGCAGGCATACACTGTGATAATCTTAACAAATATCTAGCAGCTGGTTGGATTTTTACCATATACAGAGGGTGTTTTTTATCATTAGCAACACCTTTTCAAATATTTAAGAGTCCCTGCAGTAATTCTCCACAAACAAATCAGCTTAAAAAGTTTTCTTGAATTTTGATGTTATGAGGATTAGTGCAACTATAAATTATTAAAGGGTTTGTAAGTAGTAGGTACTACAACTTTACTACAATATATTTAAATTTGTGGTACATTATAATAATTAGACATAGTAACAGTTTGAATCAGTCAGTTTGCATTAATTTGTTCTTATGGTTTAACATTCAATTTTGCTAATTAGTTTAACTCATTCTTATGTTTTTGTAGCACACCACTATGGACTCCAGACAGAGGAGGGCTTCAGATGGACTCCTGTGTGTCGTCAAGGAAAATTCTGCCACAATGCCTCCAGCTATAAGTCGCCGCTCTCCTTTACTCACCTATAAGACTGAAGCAGGTTAAACTTTAGTTCCTAGTTTATCATATGGCCTTTATATTAAATACATATAATCCATTATTAAGTATTTATGTTTGATTTATTTATGGCAGATCAGTCCTGCACTTTTGTCACTAAAGACTTGGACTTTGAGGCCAGCGAGAGATGCCAATTTTCAAACAGTGTGATCAGAGAGACCCAGAAGGAGCAAGGAAGACCCAAAGTCCCAGTGGTTTGTTTAGAGCGTCTCAAAATCCTCGTGTCTCAAATGCCTCCGCAAGGACGACGGCAGAGTGACCCTCTACCGGCCAGTGCATCCAATCAAGAAGTCTGGCATGATGATGAAGTATGTCTAGTTTAGCTTTTGTTGAATTTGCATTCACTCTTTATAGTTCATTCATTAAAAAAAAAAATTCATACAAAGAAACCCTTAAAAGATAGACCTGTTCCTGTCTTTCATTACTCCTAGTTTAATAAGAGCAGTTATTTGAGGAAAAAATAAAACTGAAGGATATCACCTATTAATTTATTGACATTTTGTTAGATGAAAACCTTATGGAAGCAGCTGGGAGGCACCATATTGGAAACAAGTATCTGTAACTATCCCAGACAGCTGATTGTCAGTCATAGTGTTATACTGAAGGGAGAGGAAGGACTAAGTGGATGGAGAGCCATACAGAAACATCTGCCAGTGACTATTCCAGATTGTCTGTGATGGTTCAATGTAGGAGAGACTTAAGTGGACAAGCCTCTGTCTAACACTTCAAAATAAAACATGTTCTAAATTCACAGTTCAAAATTTGAAACACGGCACTTAATATTTCTATTTCCTTTTCTATGATCATTATTTTTTTTAACACAGGATGAAGTTGGCAAAAGCTCAGCACCCCCAAGGACCACCCACTTGCTTTCCACTCCAAAGCAAAAGTCTGATCCAAATGAAAATGACTTTAACTACAGAATCTCTCAAAAATCCCCGAGCTACGTGCCACAAAGTTATTCCACACAGGATCCCAGAACACCGGATGACAACATTATTCAGATCGACCCAGACTGCGACACTGACGAATCCGACCCAAATGTAGAGTCGTCATCTGAGGCAGAACTTGAATGTTTGACCCATGAGAAGTCAATAGGGAATGGAGAGATGGACAGAGAAACTGATATAACAGGAGATTCTGATCCAAGCCTGGAATACCAAGCAGGATCTGAGGAAGAGCAGGGGCGAGACTCCAGAGAAGGGGAGTCTGAGGTTGAGCAAGCAGACCCCTTTGAGGAGGTGGAGTCACAGTCTGAAGTTGGCTCGGAGCAGGCCCAAGACTCACAGTGCTCCATAGATTCAGATCTGGAGGTGGAATCTGAAGCTGAAACTGTAAATGATGAACCACAACCTCTTCGCTCCGACCAGGAAGATGACCCACACATTGGCCCTATTTTAATCGCTAACCCTGACCTCCAAAGTGCACCTGAAGATGTCCAGGACAGTACAGAGATGGAAAGTGAGGACTTCTGTGCCGTGTGTCTGATAGGTGGAGATCTACTCTGCTGCGACAACTGTCCAAAAGTCTACCATCTGTCGTGCCATATCCCACCTTTGCTAAGCTTCCCCTCGTAAGATTGACTTTGTTTACTAGATTTTGTTCATAGTTTATTGTACATATTTACAGTAGTGGAAAGTCACAAAGTAAAAGTAGTAAAGTACTGCATTTAAGAATACATTTTAGCTATTTGTACTTTATTTAAGTAGATTTTAAAGTCGATACTTTTTACTTTTACTTCACTATATTTGACAGGAGGTATTTGTACTTTCTACTCCACTACATTTTTGAACAGAACTCAAACATAAAATTATTTTTTATTGTAGTCTGAGACCTGCTGTAAAGGCTGAGGGGTTTATTTTTGACACATTCTTAGTTTGTGAACAAAAATATAAAATTCAGCACAAGTCTTTATCAAATCACTACATCTAAATATTTATTACATCTGAATTATTATTATTATTTTTTTTTTTATTCTTTAAGTAACTTTTTAACAGGTACTTTAATATGTTTACTTTAAGTAGATTTTTTTTATGTGATACTTTTGCTTAAGTAATTTCTTTGGCTCTATCTGTATCTGTACTTTTATTTAAGTAACAGAATTGAGTACTTCTTCCACCACAGCATATTTAAATGTGTAAATCTGTTTTTTTGTTTAGAGGGGACTGGGTGTGCAGCCTTTGCAGAGATGTGGAACAGCCAGAGGTTGAGTATGACTGTGAGAATGAACGATCATCAGTGGACCATGCGTCATCTTATGGACTGGCTGCCTCTGACCAAAGAGTAGGTCTTTTTTCTAGATCTGTGTAAATTGTACCTTTAATATATTCTAATCTTTGTCATTTATCTTTAGAAATGTGAACGCTTGACTCTTCTGATCTTGAGTAACATGCTGAGTGCCCCCTTTCATGAACCAGTCAGTCCACTTGTGAGTCAAATTCTTGTGAACATATATTTGTGAAGAAATGATAGGACAAATTATGCCTGTATGTGGTAATTTACATGTACCTCTTTGTTATTGACAGTAAATAGGAATGATGCTGGAAACGCTAATTGCATGGCACTCATTGTTGCTGACAAAAATATAACTAATATAGCGCAGCATTTCTTACTCTTCTATTATTGGGTCTGCAATGTAGTCTTGGAGCTTGTCATTTTGAGTAACGCTGTGGCCCCTAACAAACAAATTAACAAACTATTAATTGGCAAACCAAGACAATGAGCATATTACAATGTAGATTCAGTTTGTAAACACATACATTACGGTACATTTTTATTGCATGAACATAATGTGTGACAAGGGTGAGTTGGTGGTGGCATCGTGGTTAGGTTGCATGTTCTGCTTCTGTTTTCAGTGGGTTTTAAACATTTACCGTCTGACTAGAGTTAGGGTTGCAGATAGTGAGTGCACGTGAGAGTTTTGTCTACGATTATAGGTGGCATGTATCAAAAAAAGATAAGTGAATGATAATAATTAAACCAATGTGCTTTTCTGCAGGCTCGTCATTATTACCAGATCATAAAGAGACCTATGGACCTCTCTGTGATTCGGACCAAACTCAATAAGAGCAACAGCAAACATTACAACTGTCCAGACCAGTTTGTGGCTGATGTTTATCTCATGTTCAAGAACTGTGCAAAGTTTAATTATGTAAGTATACTGATTTTGTTTGTATACAAGAATTAATTTTATGGTTAGGTTTGTGTAATTACAGAGACTTGGCATACACTCACTGTGCCAAAAAAAAGAAAATGTCTCTATTTTATTTATATTAAATAGTTGATGGATAAATAATTAGCAATTTACCTTATGTGATTACAGCCTGACTCAGAAGTGGCCCAGGCAGGTCGAAGTCTGGAGTCCTTTTTTAATGCGAAGCTCAAAGAAGTTTTTGGTGACCGGGTTTTCCCAGGTCTAGACCCGGACTCTGACAGTGACGAGTATGATGAGGTGTACAGGTCTACAGAGGGGTTCCCCTGGCCTGAGAGAAGAGAGCAGTGCCATAGGAAGAGGAAGAGGAGGCACTCTGTCAAATCCAGGAGACAGAATTTCTGAGTACAGATTACAATAGGGACACTGGTTTTCCTTGTAAAAATACCTGTGTTTGTTTTCTTAATATAGATACATGTCTCAATGCTGCCCTCTGTTGGTAGTTGAACATAATACAACAATGCTTCCAATCATAAATGCACATAGATTTATTGTAGAGATATTGCTCAGGATGTGAGAATAATTTTGGTAGGTGTCAAAACAAGCAACATATTTTGTAACTGTTACTACTCAAATTATGCTTTGTACAGTAATATTCTGTAGCATGGCATTTACTATAATATTTTTTATTTGATATGTCTACCAGATATCTGATTGTTATTTTAGTGGTCCTGTTTACAAGCTTTCACTTGCCCCACACATGTATGGTATAGATTTTTTGTTACTGATAATAGAAAAGGTATTGCTTGTATCTATTTGCATCTATTTAAACTGAATGGTCTGTCACATGACTCTCTACGCACTTTGTTGCCTTTGTATGTATTGCTTTAGCTGCTATTGTTTTAAGAAAGTCTAATCAACTGAAATATTGTCAGTGTTTCATTAAAACTTGTGTCTTTTTTACTGCAACTGTCACAATAAACCCAATGCCCCAATAATAACAAACGATTCCATTGTGTGTTGCTTATTGATGAATTTGTATATTTGTTCCATTGTTATGTGCTGGTTAACAGTGCAGTGCAACCTTTCTGGCATTAAATTATCTTTATATGGTATTTATTAAATTACAGCTAACCCAAAAACGCCTTGGAAATAAATGCATTCTTGTGTGGCTCGCCTCTCCTAAAGATATGACCTGTAACTTGGCATGAAGGTGTTGCCTGCTTTTCTCCATTAAAATTGAAAAGTATAATGCCTTGACATGAAACATTCAAGGTAGAGCGGTAAAATCTCCATAGAGACAATAATAATGGTGATCACTTAAATTCATATTTTGCACAGATATTCGGCTTCCACTTTGAACTCTTCTCTGGATACTCAGCTGTCCTGCTGCAGGTGGTGTTGCATCTGAGAGAACCTCCAGTCTGTTTATGAAGCTCATTCGTCTTGTGATGGAGAGCCTTTAGTCCTGAGCAGACTGTAGTTGATGCAATGGCTCCAAAACAATAACTGAACTCATCCATAATGTCTCTGCGAAAACACCCGTCTGACTCCAGGACTAAATCAGTTACAGTAATGGATGTGACCGAACATGTCTGGATTCAACAAACATCTTGTAACAACCTTTATAATGCCAATAATGGTCAAAAAGACAAATGGTATAGGATTGTACTTTTAAGCTAGTTATATGTTTATGTGCACTGCTCAAAAACACACAGGATACACTGAATTATGTCATTAGCTCAGTTAAACAAATTAATAGTGTAATCTGTTATTGTTTTGGTTAAAATTATGCCTTGTTAATGTAAGTATGTGTAAGTAACTGAATTGTTTTCTGGTTTATTTTAAATCATAATGTGAATGAATGCATTTTCACTTTTAATATGTCCAACATATAATGTCCAACATATGTCCAAGTATAAGAGCTCAATATTAAGCACGGTTAAAAAAAAAAAAAAAAAAAAGACAAACTATTTCTAAATCCATTACAGAAAATGAATGACTCATAATTATATTAGGTCATTTCAGTGCAGTAACACATTTGTACACTAGGTGGAAGCAAAGACCAAATAAAATCGAGAGAAAATCAGTACAGTTGCAGTAGAATGTTAGAAATGGCCAAAAGCCGTGAGCGTAAAGCGGCCTGTATTCTGTAAAGCTATTTTAGTATTAATTGATTTACATAAAATGAACTGGCCAAAAAATGGCACTTTGAGACGTTAATACAAACCATAATTGCTCAATAAAATATAGCCTGTGCTTCTTGGATGTGCCAAATGCAGTAGCTGTAGAATGGTGGCTGCAGAGTGGTTCCAGTGCTTCATGCCTCCACTGAAATGAATTTGTTCTTGTTTCTGCTGTGGCCTACATTTTTCGAGACGTCTGCCCTCATATAGCTTCCCAAGGCAGGGACCAGCAAAGGGCAGAGATTAGCTTTAACCAGGATTAAACCAATGAGAAAAATTTGAATTTGTGGCCCTTATCTCTTAGTAACATGTGGTGTGCTCTGAGCAAATGGCAGAATTTGATCTTTTTTGCTTTCCTTTTGGCAAAGCATGTTTTCATGCCAATAGACGCTTATCAAACATGGTCACTGAAGACAGAGGGGATTCTTGAAGGCCCTCAGAAGACTTGTTTACAGGGACAGGGCATGCATTAGCTGATTGGTGGGAGTAGAGAGATGCTGTTATTTAGTGGACATGCTAGGTGACTGTGTTGTCTAATGACTTCATGTTAATGTACACTTGGACCATATAAGACTTAATCTCTTTGCATAATATTAGGATTCACCTCATAACTTGGTGTGGTGATGGCCTCTATATTTGCATTCTAAACATGCAATTTCTTGCCTCATCAGGTAATGTAATTCCACGGTTCATTAGCACTGTGAGGTTTATCATTTGTCATCAAAGCCGAGCTGTCAATAAACGATTTCGCTTCACACCAGGAAAATGTAATGTTTATGCTAAACCAGGACAGACAGAAGTGTACGTGTTAATTGGAGTTTGTAAGACTTTGTTTTAGCTTAATTTCCTGGCTTTATTTGAATGACAGCTAGTTACTACAGCTCGAGGTGCTGTCATTAGAGAGCTGCCTAAGCCTAATTAATCCAACTTTTGTGTAGGCAAACAAAGTTTTATTAAAAGTGCTCATGCACTGATCTGAATACTGAAATTCATCTTTCAGTATGTGAGTGCAACATAACCTCATGAGAAAAAAATTAAATGTGCTTGCCTAAAAAAACATAGTCTATATGTGCCACATATGGTAGCACATATAGGCTATGTTTTCTAACACTTTTATAGTAGTTTGTCTGATTAAAAACTATTCAAATATTTGATTAGACTGTCTGCCTTTTCTTTTGAGAGCTATTGTTACAACAGTCTGTGTTACAATTGATTTTGTCTGCTTAGTTTCTCTACAAACTCATTCAGTCACCAGTTTGTTAAATGTAAACTAATTTAATGACCCGGCCAAAATGGCTGTCTGACAGAATGATGGAGAATGGAGACAGGTCAGGTCCTGACTTGTAATTAACCATATTCTCTAAGTACTTCCTGTTGAAACTGGAGAGGAGGTCTGCTCAGTGTAAAGTGGACCACTGCCTGATGCTTTACGTAAAATGGTCCTATAGAGTTATGGTTAGTCTGTGCTCACTGCTCAGATTTCACTCTTACTTTCACAAAATAACATTATCAAACAGTCTAGAGGTGAGAATTATATGAAGTTTATAACGAAAAATGATTTACATGTTCTTAATATGGTTGCTATAGGCATATTTGAAACATGAGCATTTTATCTAAATACACAATACACTAAACTTAATCAATATGATTTGCCCATTACTTTATCGCAATACCATAACTGTATCAATAATGAGCCTGAATTACATTGTCATATTGTGTAATTGCAGAATGATTCACTTGATTTATGCATTGTATATTGACTAATGACTAATTGTTGTCTTTAACATACTCAGCATGCATGGATACACATTTCGTTACCATGGACACTGCTGTAACATATTGCAGATGATATCAACATCGTACTGACCTATAATATTTAGTGCAGATGTGGGCAGGTTACTATTAAATTAGTGCTGTAGTATGAGTTCAGTGGTCTAGTCACAGATGTGGGTCTTTTGGATATTTTCAATAACAACACACTGTAAATTCTGTCCACACCTGGAAGTACATCATCACACATAGGATCTGAAAGCCACCAATGGTTTACAGCCTGGCCCTCAAACTCTTGACTGATACACTCATCACATGCCTCTGTCTTCCATAAATGAGCTTTGATTGAGGTGATTGGAATTTCCCGAGGCTGTCACAATCGTTTTGATGGAGAAATAGACGGCAGCTAATGGGAGAGACAGGCCTGTTATGAGAGGCCTGTCAGGGCTAAAATAATGCATCAGAGTGGAGAGGTTAAAGACACTGCTTCCTTGTTAATAATTAATTGCTGTGCGAGTGGTGGATCCACTTCATCGCTCCTAGTCATCACTTGGTAATTGCTTTACATTTAATTTGGCTTTGGAGACTGTTTTTCAAGCTGGAGAAATTGTGCTTAAAGTTAATATGGGCAAGGACAGGCAGCAGTTTCATTGGGAGATCTAACATGTTTAATATGGATATTTGGAAATAACAAATTTTTTCCCATTTATATTGCCATCACCATACCCTCTCTAGCCTCCGCCATCACACACTCCTTCATAAACTCATGCAAGAGTAGACCAGACTTCAGAGATGCAGGCATGTGTACTGAACAGCCATTATTTGTGACAGTAACATTAATTCTGACATGCGCAGGGTTGTTTCTCCTGTTACTTTGTTTGATTTGGTCTCAGTGAAAATAGAAAGGTTTAATGCCATACTGTGAAACATTCAAGACAAAGCAATGATGTTTCCATGGAGAAAACCTTTGTTAACTTATTGAATCAGTTATGTACACATTTTTTAAGGTGCCCTGTGTAACCTTTCTAAAGGGGAATCCATCAACTGCCTGTCTCCATGATGCTATTCTTTTGCTTGGAATGTTCCAATGCATGGTGACTAATCTATCTCACATTTACTCTTACTCTAACTTACTTAGACTTAGACAGACTTTATTGATCCTCAAGGGAAATTACTTGGACACAGTAGCTCACACATGACATCATATTACAATAACACAGAGTAAGTACAGGTGTTATGTGTTATTATTGCTCAAAAATACAGTGAAAAACATGTATTCTTACTGCTTATCACCATATTTTCATATTAATGCAGTTAGGCAGGTGAACGTATGATCATTTGCCATCTGTACTTGACCTCCACAATCTGCTTTGTCTGCACCAAAGATCAAACTTTATTTTGCCTGTGTATAGACCTCCTTCATTGGGGAATTTGACTGTTCCATTTGCCAAATCCAAAGCAGTCAGTGCTCAGCCTTGCATGCACACAGATAATGATCAAGTTAATTAGACCTGAGATTGAATGAACTGCTGCAGCAACTTAATCATTTGTAACTTGATTAGAAATACTATATTCTGCTGCACCAGAGACCACAAACTTCTGCTAAGAGCTTGAAGAAGGAAGTTTCCACTACAAATTAGTTTTGTTGTTTTTCATTCCATTATCTGTAAGTTTGGAAGAATATTGGCATGATTTCCTGATTTCCTCTAACAATATAATCTGTATTATGGGTTGTTTTAAGATTATCTAACATGTTAGGGGATGAAGGGGTATTCCTTTATGAATTAGACCTAGGCCTACATGTTATTCTAAAGTTATCGTTGATTTAATTTGACTATTGAACTCACTGAACCATCATCTTTATATATTTATCCACCCACACGTCATTTAATACCGCAAGCATGAAAAATAAGGCTTATGGAATACTGATACTGATATACTGAATTACAGAGTAGCTAACTAAATTAAATATTGTATCGTATAGGGTTCAAAAAAAAAAAAAAAAAAAAAAAAAGAAAGAAGAAAAGATAGT